AAAACAGAAGGTAGGGTGATGAAAAAGAATCACGGCCTGTGCAGTATGAGCCCCAGGTTTGCTACTAAAATTAAAAAACTGGGGACATTGGCAAAGCCACTTCAACACTCTGGGCCTAACAAGATGCACGATAGCAGTGTTTCTCAACCACAGAATTTTGACCCAAATAATTCTTCGTTGTGGGAGCTTTCCTAAGCATCATAGGGTGTTTAGCAGCATCTTGAGCCTCTACTGCCACAGATTCCTCTTCCATCTCAGCCTCCCCAAGTTGCAGATGTTGCGAAGTGTCCTCTGGGGAGCAAATTTATCCCCATTGAGACACTGCCTGAGATGGTCTTCAGCTAATTCCTTGCTAGAAACCTCCTCTGATTAGTTTCAGAAGCTGTAAAGCCTGAGGTTTAATGTTCAGTGACTCCATAAGTCACTAAGGTATGCAAAGCACCCATCAGTATTTTCATGATTCATTAGGCAAAATGATAGGAAAATGAATAAAATGGAGAAGACCCTGAATCTTCAGAGAGAAGTTTAGGACATATGGAACAGATGTGAAGCTATGAGACTCCAAGCAAACAAAACAATCGTTAAAAAACGAATAATAATAATCACTATAGTTCAGACAGTTCCACCTTCAGTTAAGATAACTGAAATGCGGCAGAAATGTTCAACTGCTTCATAGCTTTAAATGAACTTACAGCACTAACAAAACCCTATTTTTTATTTAACAAAAAGCTAGTGTTTTTATTTCATAAGAAACACAAGGATATCTTCATATTTTTCTAAACAGGGTATTTTATTCTTCTAACAATACTACAAGCTCATAAAAGGAAACAAATTATCCACATCTTCATTATCTTTTTAAATAGAATGTCTTCTTTATATTTGTCATTTTATTAGCAAAAACTCCTTAATGTGATTCTACCATACTTCTGAATTAAAATTATTTACGCTCATGCTAATGACTTGCTACTGGAAGATCTTGACATCTTTTGAATTTAAAAGTGACTAAAAAGATTCAGTGTTATTTTAAATTTACAGTTCTTTGAAAATCAGTAGTTCATCCATCCATATAGAAAAAGTCATCTAATAACCAGTGTTCCACTAACACCACACCCTACACCCAGCACACATTAAGTTTTCCACAAATATTGAATAATTATCATTAACTGCAACCATGCCAGAAAATAGTTTTATTCCACATCATTAGTATTGGTTTTTACAGTAACTAATAGACACAAAGAATGAAGGAGGAGACTGTCACACAACCAATTTAACAACTTGAGTCTCTTTCATGAGTACCCCTTAAATCAATACCTAAAACGGCTTCAATATCATTTTAACATTCATATTTTCCCATGTGTTCAAAGGTCCTCACTGAGTCACCTTACCCCACCCTCTTACACTTCCAGCTCCCTTTAAACCTCTCCTTTGTAACTGCAGCTACTGAGGCAGCCACTAGCAAGGACCTTAAGGTAGCTGCTATGCAAAGCTGCCAAATCCTCCAGCTGGGCTCAAACCACCTGAGCCTTCACTGCGAAAGGAACCATGCAGCTCTAGTCTGTAGACTCTGCTCCAAGGAGCAGCCACTACCTCACAAGTAGTTCCCTCCAGAGCTTTCCCAGAAAGGGCACTGGGCTAAAAATTCAGGCTCCAGAATTTTAATCCCAATTCTTTTTTCTCTTTTCTTTTTGACCAGTACTGGGTAGGATTGAACCCAGGGTCTTCCCACTGAACTATATCCCCATTCATATAAAATAGAACTATATGTTCTATTTTGAGACAGGGTCTCATTCATTAAGTCACCAAGTAGGCCAAGCTGGGCTTGAACTTGCAATCTTCCTGCCCCCGTCTCCCAGAGTACTGGGATACAGGCATTCTTTTTATTCCACAGTAGATTCAAGTTACAATACCTCTCACTCTGATCTCCTAGAAAGGGGAACTCACAGATACTTTCCAGATTTAAAATTCTTCAAATCTTTGAGTCTTTTCTTAAACCAGAATGCATAATTAAGTTTATGTTAAGAGAGAGAGCACGCAGTCACTCGCTGGACTGACTTTATGGAACAAAATGGATCGAACTCAAATGGTGATAAGACTGGAGGTTATTTTTATTTTTTTCAACACATATCAAATAGATGGGGATGCAAAGTTAGTTTCTTCTGAGAGGTGGGTAGGCCAGAGATCACCAACTGAGTAGGCTGTTACAAATTGCAACTCCACAGGACGTAAGACTACATCTGTAAATCAGAACTGCCTTGACTTCTGGCATGGGCTTATTAAAATAACATTTCTAAACAAATAATTATGGCATGATTAATGAGGCCAAATCACTTCCCACTCCCTTTACAGACACTTCCCTGCCCCCCACCCTCGACCCTGACTCTTCCTAAAGGAAGACAGATTACACTGCATGACCTCCCAATCAGTTATGATTGTCTTCAGGCCTTAAAGTCATCTTGCTAATCCTGGCTGATTTATAGCTAACAGCTGATGAAACAAACACACGTATACTAACAAATTAATCCATCACCAACATGTTCTATCTCAAAGACTTCCTCCCCCCAAAAAAGAAAGCAGGCTAGTCCATTTACTATGATGATGATGACATCTCCACATATCTATAAAGAAATAGAGCCAGATGCAGGGTGAAAAGCTCCCAACGAGGAAGAAAGGATAAGAGAGAAAACATACTTATACAAATTCTAGAGAGATCTATAAAACTGGAATCTTAGAATTTTATTATTAAGCTAAGCTTCTTACTATAGAAATCCCCAAAACTCTCCAACTGGGCAGCTAATTGAGTTGTAAAGTGCCAAAAAGACTTCCCTCTCTCCCTCATCCATCACAGGCAATATAGAATCCCTTGCTCAATATGATAATGTGACTTTTGTCAATGCATGTTCAAATCAGATAGAGGATTGGCTGGTGATGATGTCATACCCATGGGTTAATCCCCAGTGAATGCAGTTTTAATATCATATGCATCCACATATCATTTACATAACAAAGTATTATATTACATGTAACAATAAATGAGTGGTGCAGATAAAAGCAGCTATTAGGGAAAGGCTATGTGCCACTGAAAAGTAGGTGGGGGAAAGGAAGGATCGTTTTCTTTTTAACTAAATAGAACTAGGTCATCAAACAATACATATTTGTAAAAAGATCAGAAAATGAATATTGAAATTCAAGTGACCTAGAACAATCTAGTGCTGGAAATATGAGAAAGGTGGCCTACAGTGAAGAATATGCAATATAATTATAGGTGTTTTTAGTGAGTGGGGAAAATAAAGCCATTCAAAAACAGGTACACTGGCAGCCTCTGCTTTTCTAAGGGCAACTTTCTTATCTCTAGCAGGGAAAATTGGCCAAGTCAAGTCACGACCTAAAGCCTTATAATAAATTTTAAAGCATCAAAGAGTAGTTAGATGGTACTGCAAGAAGATAGCAAGAACAATGAGAGAAAAACTTAGAAAGAAGACTTTGAAATACAGCTTTCGGCTTTAAGAACACTGATCTAGGAAGAAAGCTTTCTGCATAAATAACGGATGTTAACCTGCACGGTCATTTGGGGAGGACATAAGTCATCATTAGTCATAATGTTTCTGAAAACTGCTCTCACACGGCCTTTTTATGGTCTGTATTTCCAATCCAAAGGAAGTGTTGGGCTGGCACATTTATTTATGACCATAAACTTAGCAAAAATGCTTCTCACCATAAAAGCCACAGTGAGCTATTGAAGAATTCTTCACATCATTCGTCTCAAATGACCAAGTGTAAAACAGTAATTGTATTGCCAAACGGATGTTCTCAACAATTTTAGCCTTGTAAAAAAATCCAAGCTCTGCTAGAAAGCTTAGCCATTCATGTGTGCACGTTTGGGGTCTGAATCTGCAGGTGGGGGCCTCCGGTTACTGCGAACAATCCCTGTACCAAGGATAGAGAAAGAACCCGACTAAGGCTTGGAAGGCGACATCCCCACACACAGGATCGCCTGTCACACCACATCAATCTCGCTGTCTTGGAGGGAAAGCCATTGAAAAGTTACAGAAAGAGTTTAGGCGTAAGGGTGTTTCCTCAAGGGAGATCCTTAAATCCCGGTGGAGGGAGCAGCACATGCAAAGGTCTGTCATGCATCTGTGCACACCCATATTGCTGAGAAGTTCCTTCATAGTTTGGCTAAGGCTCTCAAACGGGGTATGAGGAGCCCCCAAAACGATAAGGATACTGATGTAAGAGTAAAATGCACAGCGCCCCTGCGTCCAGCCTGAGCTGCCTCCCCAAGAGCGGGATACCAAGCTTTCCATTTCCAATTCTTCCCGAGGCTGAGCCCTTGCTTAGTTTAAAGATGCCTTCTCTTACTCGAGGACTACCAGAGCAAAAGAGCCAAGGAAAAAGAGGCAAAGAGTGATATGGAGACACCGCCTGGGTGGGCAAGTCAGGGATGGCTCGCGCAGGAAGAGGTAGAACTTCAGGCCCGCTCCGGTCTCCCCCTGCCTGGTAGTTTGGCCTCCCTACTGAAAGCGCGTCCCGAGCGCCAGCTGCGCTCCCTCCAAGACCCCACAACCGGGAGGCTGGGGCGGGGGAGACTAACCTGCTTCCTCCTGCTGGCTCTGTATGGATCCTCGCTCAGCTCCAAGGGAGAAACCCCAAGGCCAGCTTGTTCACAACTATCTCAGAGAGAGTCCGCCGCGCCCCCGCCTATCAGTTCATCAAGTGGCCACTCCCGCACGGTGCAGCTTCCCCGGGGACCTGAATCCCGAAATTAGAAGAGGCTGCTGGCCCACCCCAGCCACATACCCTTACTTCGGGGAGCCGCTTCCAACTTCGGGGTGCAAGCCGACCACAACAGAGGAGCCCTGCTCCCCAAGACGCCGGAATGAGCGGGCTCGCTCCGAGCCAAATTGCACGAGAACCAGCTGGTGCCCAAGGGACAGCGCTCGCGCTCAGGGTCCAGAGCCCCCCCCCCAACCCGCCCCCTCCACTCCCCTTGAAATCCTTACTCGACTGGAGCCGTTGGCCAAGCCAGACCTGCGCGTCCAGGGCGAGGCGCCAATCGCACACTGGAGCCGGAGGACGCTTAGCGCGCCGCTTGCCCGCAGACGGCCGGGGAATGGGCCATCACCTCCGCCGCCAGGCCAAGGAAAAGAAAGTTCCCACGTCGCCCCAGAGAGAAGCCCGGAGCTGAGGCGGAAGAAGCAGCGTCTGCAGAGGGGCGGCAGCTGCGGGACGGTCCCGCGTCTGCAGACAGCCGCGAGCCCAGCTGTGCGCCCCGTCCGGGTGGCAAGCGGATAGCGAGCAGCCAAGTCCCGCGAGCGCGCCGGGGAGGGGCCGGCTGGGCTCAAGCCGCTCTGATTGGCCTGGCCGGCCGCTGCCCGCGCCCCGCGAGTCCGCAGTCCACGTGGGCCGCCGGCTCCCGCCCGCACCCGGCTCCGCCGCCCGCCCGCCCCCAGCCGCGGTGCGCGAGCCTCTCCCGAGCGCCTCTGGTGGCCACCGCTCCTTGGGTGATGGGGACGGGTACTGTTTTTCTGAATGCCTGGAGAGCCGCCTTGAGCCCGGCATCAGGGAGAGGAATTTAGGGTTCGGCTCCAAATTGGAACCATGCCCTCGCACAGGACCCAAACCAGGATTCCTTAACCACCCTGCGCCTAGCACGGGCATAATTAATCCGGCTGTGTGTGTAATTTGCTTGCATGGGAGAGGAGAGAACTCGGCACACATCTCAATAACCAAATACATTTCTTTTAAAAATGCTAATGCAACTAAGACTTCTTTGACACCCCCACCCCCACCCCACCGCCCAGCCATACACGATCCCCCTCCCCTCCCCTCTTCTGAAAGGGAAATTAACATTAATAACAGTACCGCTTAAGTATTCCATTTACAGAGATGATCTTATGTGATCTCTATTTTACAGGTGAGAAAAGTGAGGCTCAGAAAGGCTCAATAACTTAACGAGGGTTGCAGAGTTAACTAGAGGTAAAGCTTCTGTTTGAACATGGGGTGTATGGTTGCAGAATCAGTGCTCTTCAGTGTTCGAGGCCTGGGCCAACAGAAGCATTGCCTGAGACCATGTTATAATTTCAGATTTTCAGACCGCAGAACCTGAACTGGAGCCCCAACTGGTTAGTACTTGCACAAAGGTTGAAAAGCATTGCTCTATACCACTATACTCTCTGCCGCCGTTCGTTTGGCTTGTAAACTTCACAGCCTGTTACTCTGTTGACATAAAATCATGTGCCATCCTGTGCCAGGTTCACTCCAATGTATATTTGCCCCCTTCTGCTCCTATGGCTTGAATTAAATTAACCTGTGGCACCCCTCATGCTTGTTTCCCTGAGCCTTTGTGCCACATACACATAATACATTATCTTGCTAATGGTTAAACATTTTTGGTCTTTTACTCTTTTGTTTTCAAAAGTGGGGCTTTGCAATCAAAGACAGTCCTGTTTTCAAGTCATCACCTGTCTAAGAGGGAATCCAAACATCAAAGACAGTGCCTCCATCTCTGATGCACTCTTTAAAGACTAAGTGCTGAAATCCCATAAAGGACAAGAGGAGTTCTAAACCAAACCTGAAACTAATGCCAGGAGATTGCAGGCTGTTCATCATTTACTTAACAAAACTCATGGCCCAGGCTGGGGATTTAGCTCAGCAGTTTCACCACCTGCCTCACAAGCACAGGGTCCTGACTGAGTTCGATCCCCACTACCAAAAAAAAAATAAAAAATCAAGGGCCACTCTGAATCAGGTGTGGTGATAGTTGCTGGTATAGACCGAGTAAACACAATAGTAAAAATTGCTTCGGGTGGCCAGACCAGCAATTAACATGATAAGTAAATTACAGAAGGCAGCAGAAGGTGGTGTTACAAAGAGAAGAAAAAAACCCAGCTATTTCCCTTTTAGGCATCTTCCCAAAAGAGTTATAAACATCATACACAGTGATGTATGCATACCCGTGTTTATAGAAGTGCAATTCATAATAGCTAAATGTTGAACACAGACTATATGCCCATCAACAGACGAATGGATTAAGAAAATGTGGTACAGTGGACCCTTGACTTATGAACTGGATTGGTTCCCAAGGACTGATTGTAACTCAAGTTGGTTGTAAGTCAATATAGCTGAGATCTGGATGTTTACCTGGGTACACGCTATAGATAACAAGAGGCAGATGAATATTCCATTAACCTGATTAACCCAAGTTGTTCATATGTCAGGTTGGTTGTAACGTAAAGGTCCACTGTATTTAGACATGATGACATACCACTCTGCCATAAACAAAGATGAACTTGAGGCATTTGTAGGAAAATGGATTCACCTTCAAGCTATAATGTTAAGTAAATCAGATACACAAGCTTGAACATTGCATGCTTTCCTTTATTTGAAAAAGTTAATAGGAAAAAAGAGAGGGGAAAAAAGTTATTGTACTTTAAGTATGTTTCTGCTATTGCTTTCCAGTTTCACTCCAGTATGATGTGACAGATCACTTTGCAAGGTTCCCATTTCTGTGGATTTGTTAAGTTCTTTATTGTTGCTGTGAGCATGGTCTGTTTTGAACTTTTTAAATGGCAGAATAGGAAAATCTATGAACATAGAGAGTTGCTCAGTGCTTGCTTAGATGGGGGGGAGGTGATAGCTAGTGGGTAGAGTGTCTTGTTTTAGGATAACAAAAATGATCTAAATTTGATTGTGGTCATGGTTGTACAACTTTGTCGATATGCTAACATCTACTGAATCTTACACTTTAAGCTTGTAAATAGTGTGGTATGCAAATTCTAGTTCAATAAAGCTGTTATTTTAATTTTTTTAAGTGAAGACATTATAGCTTCAAGAACTAGAGTCAGCTGCAATATGTGGATGAATTCAAAAGCCCAAGCTTCTTCCAGACCAGTGTCCTGACTGAAATGTCTGTTGAAACAGGTGTGCCCTGCGCCTCCACAACATGAGAGATGATTTTGAAAGTGAAGTGGCTTCAGACCTAGGAGATGCTAGTGGAGCGCTCCGCACGGGAACTGCCATGTTATAGGCAGGGTTGTGTGCCGCATTTAACATAGATGAAAATGTACTGGAAATAGTTAATAAGAGTGTGGGAGAGTTTGAATTAGCAAAGGCTGATACAGTTCACTGTGATGAGTGCTCAGTAAACGTAATTAAAATGAATGAAAAATTGTTCATTTAAAAATATAAAAACATTAAAATAAACAGTCCAAAAAATTTTTTAAAAGAAAAAATGTGGAGAACAGGAGACGGGTACTGGGGAAGCTGTGATTTTAACAATAGCGTCAGTTCCAACTGAGAATAGTTCCCACTGAGAAGGTAATATTTGAACAAAGACTGGGAAGAGGTGGGGCAAGTCACTCAGAAGAACAAGTCTTCTACTGGCATTGGTCTATGTATATATGTAAGCCCTAATTTTCTTATCTTCCAAGTTTCCCTGGACTGAAGTTTTCTCATCTTGGCAAAGAAAAATCATAAGCAACTTTGCATGACTCAGTCTAATAACCTATTCTCCCATTCTAGATTTTCAGCATTATTAGGGGTTCAATTGTGTCTCCCTGATGCTCATATGTGGAAATCCTAACCCCCAGTAGCACAGAATGTGACCTTATTTGGAACTAGAGTCTGAACAGAGGTAATCAAGTTAAAATGAAGTCGTCAGGGTGGACCCTAATCCAATATAATTGGGGGAAATTTGGAGGCAGACATCCACACAGGAAGAACATGTGAACTTCAAGGCACAGATCCTGGTGATGTGTCTGAAGCCACAGAATATCAAGGAGGGCCCACAAAACCACCAACAAAGGCTTGAAACAGATTCCCTCTCATACCTCTCAGAAGGAACCAACACTGCCAGCCCCTTAGTCTTGGACATCTTCCCTCCAGAAGTGAGAGACTATAACTTTCTATTGTTTAAGCCACCCAGTCTACAGTGCTATGTTAGAGCAGCCCCTGAAAATTCATACAAGAATGTTTGTGAGGTAAGATGAGACAGGAACATATCTGTACATTTCCAATGACCTGATGTCTTTCATGCAACAGCAAGAAACCAAAATGACCTGATGGTCAAATTATTAATTTTCTTAAGTAAGAACCTGTGAAGGTTGCACCAATAGAGTTTTGCACATATACACATTCACAAAAGAGCCCTTGACATGCCTCTGTATTTGTAGGTAGTGGCACCATATGACTTGGACATTGTGTTTATTTTTCTCATTTATGTAACATCCAGAAAACTACTGGGCATGTCCTGGTGTTTAATCAATACACTGATGATTGTGCCTATGAAGGAACATTTTGGCTCTCCTAGGCCTATTTATTAATCTTATTAAGCCCAACTTCATTTTAAAATTTTGTGATGCTCGTGTACTTTGAGTATAATTTTTCCATTAGGAGGCTAATAAGAATAATGGCTAACATGAATTGGAGGCTTGTGTGTGACCTTCTATTCCAGATGCTGCATGTCAATTATCATGTGCATAATCCTATAGGAAAATTCTCTTATTATCACTTCCATTCTACAGATGAGAGAACTGAGGCTCAAAAGAGGTTAATATATGCATGGTCAAAACCACTTTTAAATAGCTAGCTTATGCCTTGAGCCAGTTTCTTTGACTGCAAAGACTGTGCCAGGGTGGGTGAGCAGAAACAAACAAAGCAAGCATAGAGATGCAGAAGGAATTTGCCTATTCCTTTGTATTTGTCTTTGAAATTTTCAAAGTGCTATTTTCTTACTTTTTGTTATTTACCCCAGCCTCTAGCTTTCAAGATCACTTTTCTAGCTGGATCTTTGCTGTGCTTTCTCTTGCTTCAAACTGGGACCTGTGAGTACTTTGATAAATGAAACAACTGGTATAGTGTTGTTTCTAGCCTATGTATTCTTTAGCATCCTCTAAGGAAATATGAGTCAAGATTCTTAGAGCTCAGCCTACTTTGACATACATCTGTATCTCATATATTGACAGCTTCTCTTATTCAAATAGTAGGGAAGGAAATAACGTCCTCTTCATCAGACCAAGCACTGTAAGCAATGTGCAGTTACAGGTTCTGGCCCTCTTTACACAGATACTAATAGATCTTCCTGCCTGAGAATGAACATTTAAAAACAGCTTCAGCTGCTCTCTGCAACTCACTTTCTATTCTCATGGCTTCCCCACAGTGTTGGTCAGAGAGAAAGCCCATGAACTTGCAATGGTAAGAAGATGTGAGGCAGCTCTTGTTGGGTCCTGGATTCCCCCACCTTTCTCAGGAAGTGGGTGGCCATTTCAGCTGTTAAATGACTTCCTGCCCTGGATGGTTTGGTCAGGCTTGTTTTAGAC